CACTGCACCCCAACATCCCGACCCACTTCATCCCGTCACTCCCGACGCACTGCACCCCAACATCCCGACCCACCGCATTCCGTAACTCCTGACCCACTGTACCCTATCACTCATGAACACATCATCCCCAACCCCTATGCCCTGGAACCCACTGCACCCTAGCACCCCCAAACTCTACCCTGCACTGGAACCCACTGTACCCCATCACCCCTAAACCCTTTGCCCCAGAACCCACTGCACCCCATTAGCTCCCAACCCTCTGCCCTGAAACTCACTGCACTCCATCACCCCAAGCCTTCTGAAGTTCTTTCAGGGAGAGGGAAGCTGTTTTGCTCAGGAGCCAAAGCAAAGAAATAAACATTTACATATTAATTTAAAATTTAAATAAATAATCAAACCTATCCATTTTTCCAGAGTTAATAAATGCTCTCTCTTGGCCAACACTGACCTGCAAACCCTCCCCAGCCCCAATCTGAGCAGCCACCCCCACATGTGCCCCTGTTGTCCAGGAGGCCCCAGGAGCTGCCAACAGGTGCTGGACACTCCAGCACTGAGCTGTGCACGTTCTCAGCCCACTGCAGACAGCTGCTGCAGCCTCTGGGGCACGTGGGGCTCTGCTGGGGGTGTCCCCAGGGGAGCAGGAGCTGGTAACACACCTGTCTACATGTCAGATGGCATTTTTCTCTCTCTCTTGGAGAATAAAAGCCAAATTCTTATGGAGATGCATCCAGGCTGTGATCGGAGGTAGAATTAAGGTGCACATCAGATTAGATGTTTGGAGAAATGTTTTCCCTGTTAGGGTGATCATGCACTGGAATATTGCCCAGGGCGGTGGTGGCATCGCCATCCCTGGAGGTGTCTCGAGGATATGGTTTAGGGTTTAGAGGTCTCCTTCAACCTTGATGATTCCAAGAGGATGATGCCAGGCCCTTTCCAGTGGTACCCAGTGGCAGGACAAGGAGCAATGGTCATAAACTGAAACGCAGTAAGTTCCACATCAACGTGAGGAAGAACTGCTCTCCATGGAGGTGGCAGAGCACTGGGACAGCTGCCCAGGGAGGACATGGAGTCTCTCTCTCTGGAGACATTCCAAACCCACCTTGCTGCATCCCTGTGGAACCTGCTCTAGGTGCCCCTGCCTTGGCAAGGAGGTTGGACTGGATGATCTCCAGAGGTTCCTTCCAACCCCACCACGACTGGCCATATGTCCTCGGAGGAGAGCATTGTGCCCCAGGGCCACTTGTCCCACACAGGGGTGAGGAGTGAAGGGCAAGAATCTGACCCTCCCCACATTACGAGGACAGTTGAAGCACCTCTCCCTCCTGCCACACTCCCTGCCCCTCTCCCCCTGGCACAAGGAGCTGATGGAGTCGGTGACGGGTGCTCTATGCCATGTGCACAGCAAAAATAGATGTGGTTGAGCTGTGATGATGCAAAGCCCCAAGAATCCTTCTCCAGTTTCTCCAGCTTGGCTTGCAGCCTGGCTCTCCTTTGGTGCCAGGGCTGGAGGCTCCTCCAGCCCCAGCACCTTTTTGGGGTGATTTTAGGCTGAAAGGGGAGAAATTTTAAGAGGGAAATTGAGATTAGATCTTAGGCAGAAGTTTTCCCTGGGAGGGTGGTGAGACACTGGCATAGGTTAGGCTGTGGCTGCCCCAACCCTGGCAGTGTTCAAAACCAGGTTGGATCAAGCCTTGAGCATCCTGCTCTGGTGGGAGGTGTCCCTGCCCAGGGCAGTGGTTGGGGCTGGATGATCCCTAAGCTCCATCTCAACCCCTCAATGTTCTATAAATGGGTTGATAAAATCCTTTACGAAGATGTTACCCTCAATCAGGTCATTCCTTCCACCTCAGGGTTGAGCTATCCACAGGAAAGGGGCAGGGAGCTGCTGGTTGAGGTCATTGCCACTGGGAAGCAGCAGGAGAAACATGAGGGTTTGGGATTAATTAGAGCCCATGGGATGCAATACTCACCCTCATTCCAGCCTTCTCCAGGAGCTGGATGCAATGAAGGAATCTCCTGCAGCTACCTGCAGGAGTTAATCCCTCCTGCCCGAGTCTTGGCTGTGCAGAAAGGGATGCTGGCATGGAATGAGTCTGGGCTGAGGCAGCAAGGCTGACAGAATGAGCAAGAAGCCATGAGAGGTTGAGGCAGAGTTTGTTTAGTCTGGAGAACAGGATAACCTGGGGAATGGTAGACAGGGACCAGGAGCTCCTTCCCAACAGGCTCCAAGCCTTGCTGACACTCCCAAGGTGATCCCAGAGGTCTGGATGTCTGGGATCAGCTCCTCCCAGCTCCAGAAGGATGGGAGCACCTTGTGTGGGATAGATCTGCTGGAGCCCAAACGTCGGAGGCAAAACAAACCACTTGAACCTGAATTCAGGAGTTGCTAGGGAAAATGGGAATTTTAGGGCCTCCTGAATTTCCATGGAGAGCTGCTGCAGTGCCTGTGTGAGGGCTGCTGGTTCCAGGCCCTCTCCAGACCCAGCTTCCATGAATCTGTGTTTGTGAAACACCTTTGGGGCCACTTCCAGTGTTGTTTTCCTGACCACACTGACCCCACAACCATCCTGATGCTCCCTCCCTCCAGGGATTGTCCTCATACCCAGGGAACATGGAGATGCAACAGGAACTAGATAATCTCCTGTGCTGGGATAAGCTGGAACTGCCCCAGAGGAAACTCCACCTGCAAAGGCCAATGGCACAAACAGCTCCTGCTTTCCCTTTTCCCCTCCACATGCTTTGCTTTGTCCTATTCCTGATGGGAAATCAGGTTGGGAAAGGGCAGAGCCTGTCGCACCCACCCAGCACATGCTGCTGTGGCAGAGGATCCCTCCCTCCCCCCGTGGGATCACTGCCAAGGTCAGGGGCTGCTTTCCCCCTTGCTCCATGGATTAATTCCTGCCTGGCAGAGCCCCAGGACACCCAGCAGTGCTTCCCAACACATCCCATGCTGCAGAGCCTGTCACAGGGCAACACTACATCCAGGAGCATCTGAGCCAGGGCTCATCCAGTGCCCTTGGAATGATTCAGCAGCAGGAAGTGCTGGCTGCAAGGCTCCCACCTGGCAGTGACACAGCAGCTGCTTCCCAAGCCTTAGGAACAGCTTGAACATGGATTTTGGGCTGCAGCTCAGCAAGGTGCCCCCTATGGAGACAGCAACCAACTCCTCTTGGTAAGGCTTGTTTGCATCAGGAGCTGAGTCCTACCAGCAAAGACACTGAGGGGCTGAGTGTGTGCAGGGAAGGGAACGGAGTTGGTAAGGGGCAGGAGCAGCTGAGGAAGGTGTGGGGGCTCAGGCCTGGAAAAAACGAGGTTCAGAGGGACCTCCTTCTGCTCTCTGCAACTCCCTGGCAGGAAGTGCAGCAAGGTGGGGTCAGGATGAGAGGACACACCTCAAGCTGCCCCAGGGAAGGTTTAGGTTGGCTATTAGGGAATATTTCCCCATGGAAAGGGCTGTCCAGACCTGGCACCTGCAGGATGGGGACATGGTCAGTGGTGGCTTGTGTTAGGGGAACAGCTGGACTTGATGGTAGTAGAGGGCTTTTCTAAGCTAAACAACTCCCTGATCCACAACACAGCATGGCCTGCAGTGCTCACCATGAGCAGGGACCTGGGACAAGGAGTGTGGACACTCTCAGTACAGGAGCCATGTGAGATTCCAAAGAATGTGACAACAGCAGCCACCAGGTGAGCCTGGCTGGGACATTACTGCAAAGTAATTCCTGCCACGAGCCCAATGTAGCCTCTGGACAGGAAAACCAGGGAAGTTTTTCCATAGCTCTGGATGATGTGTAAATCCCTAAGCCACCTGTTGGCCACCTCCTCTCCATGCAGCAGCAGCTGGGAGGGCTAAATCCTAGGGGTTTGTTTTCTTGGCAAAAGGAATTAGGAAAAGCAAAAACCAAACTTGTTTTCCTTTTATTCGGTCACTTTTGGAAAGGATTTTACACAGGTTTGGATCTTGGGAATAACTTGGAATCAGTAGAAAAAACTAACTGAACAGTTTTTGTCTTTACAATAGAAACCTTTGGGGAGTCAAAGTGGAGCCTAAAAAAATAACATGCAAAAAACACAGTCCTCTCCAAGCACAACTGGAAACAAAGCACCAAACTACACAATTATGCAGGATGAGACAGCATTGACCACCACAGAGTCTGTCCTCAGAAAGGTGTCTAAGTCACCTAGTCACTAGGCACTGTCACGTGTTTCAACACAAGAGACCATAGAAAATATTGCCCACAAACTTGCACTCTCCACTCCAAGGCTGTGGCTGCAAACTCCTCTGGGTCACAGGCTTTAATAGCGACCTGAAACACAACCAGCCACAAAACACACTGTGAGGCTTCAAGGATTGAAAGAACTCACTGCCACCCCTCAAATCCTGCAGCCTATTCCAGAGCCTGAGGGCCTGGAGGGGATCAAGCTCCGTGGTGGATGCAGGAATGGTCCTTCAGGCTCCAAACAAGGGCTGTTATCTACTTTATTTGGTCCAAACCAAGTATCTGCTGTGCCCTCAAGGTTGTTCAGTACAACATCAAAGGGAACTGAGGGTCAATCAAAGATATCCAAACACAAGTCCAACAAGTTTTAGGGACAAAAAAGCTCCAGAGAGGTTCAGGGAAAGAAAGGGGAAATTTAGAGATGTGAGCTCTATGGCTAGGCCAGGCCTAGGCAATGGCTTCCCACTGCCAGAGGACAGAGACAGATGGATATTGGGAAGGAATTCCTCCCTGGGAGGGTGTGGAGTCACTGGCACAGGTTGCCCAGAGCAGCTGTGGCTGTATCATCCCTGGGAGTGTTCCAGGTCAGGCTGGATGATGCCTGGAGCACCCTGGGCTGGTGGGATGAGATGGGATTTAAGGCCTTTCCAAGCCAAACCACGCAGACTGCACAAGTACTTACGAGGGGAGTAGGAGCGAGACCTGGAGCGGGACCTGTAGCCCCCTCGGCTGTAGTAGGGGGACGGTGACCTCCTCCTGGCAAAGGACACACAGACAACCTTGGTTAGAACCTGCAGCAGCATTGTGGCAGCCCTCTCACCCACCCCAGCCTGGCAAGGCACTGGGGAAAGCTGACAAACACAGGACCCAGCAAAGACCTGAGTTCTCTTCTTTTTTATCACCAATACTACTTTGGATCAAACACCAACAATAACCTTCTTGCACTCACAGTTTGCCTAGCTGTGACTGCAGTTTCCAGCCAGGAGCATCCCAACAAGCCTAACCAACCTTCTTCATGTGAATTACTTGTCCAAGCCACCCCCAACTCTCCAATCCAGCACTTCCAAACTCTGTTTCCTTGTCTAGTTCTGCTAATCCAATCAATACCTGTAGAACTGATCTCTGTCCTGCACAGCTCTCCAGCCTCCTCCTCCACCACCACCTCCTCCTCTGTGAACACAAAAGCACAATGTGTTAAAGACATTTCAAAAGCAGACAAAAAGCTCATCAGACTTCAGAGCACCCTCAGGAGTAAGGGAATGATGTGAAGGTGAGAGAACATTGGTTCCTGCACTGGGTAATGCTGAATTACTCATGATGTTCATCTTTACCCACTTCAGACAAGCCCTTAGAGCTAGTTATTTTTGACAGCAGCAACATCATTACATTTCCCAGAGGAAAAATGCTGATTCCAGGAAAAATCCCACCCCTAAACATTTTAACACTTCACAGACAAGTTGAAACAACAACTGTGCCACAACTTCTCCTTAAACAGACCAGAAACATGTTACAGTGTTTAGCATCAAGTGATTGCACTGGTACCTCCCCAGACTGACATCAGGAGACTAAATCAAGGTTAAAGTCTTCTCCAGTTGTGGTTTGGGGATTGTTTTTTTTCAGTTTACAGGTATTTTCCAGGCAAAATGAATCCACCTGCAGCTCTGAGAAGTTTTAACATGCCAATTCCCACCTGTACCCACTGTATTTCCCTTCACACACCAAGCAGAACATGAGCTCTGCACCACTTCAGTGCTAACAGATGAACCAAACAAAGATCCTCCTAAAAACCAGAGAACACACTAAGGAAACACTAGGCACTAACTGAGGCCACAAAGCATTTCTCAACCTCCCCAGTGTGTTCTGCACTGAGCAGTGACTTTGGAGAGGATCTCACAATGAGGTTCCAGGATGGCAGTGAGTGCAGAGGTATTTTGCAGTACATCTGTGGGATGAACTGGCTGAGAGACAGAGTTTCAGGAGCAGTGCAGGGTGACCAAGCCTCACCTGTATGACCTGCTGTAGTAGTCACGATCATCGTAGCCTCTGTCATAGCCTCTGTCGTAGTAATCTCGTCGGCGTGAGCTGCCACTGCACACACAAATGCACTTTGTGAGCTCCAAACCATCAACTGAGAGCACAACTCCTCCAATAATTGCTTCTCTAAAGGCTTCAAAGCCAGGGATAAAACTTACTAAGTGGGTCTTCCCATGTAGATTCCAGGAGTAGGTGTGTGAGGTCTTTTTGTTATGGAGAAGTCCACCCGGATCCTTCTGCCATCCAGCTCCATCCCATTGGCACGTTCCTTGGCCTGCATGGGCAGAGAACACCATCAGCTCTAGGGATGAGCTTCAGGACCAACAGAGAGTTCTGAGCATTGCTTAAGTGTCCAAGGAAGCCCTAAAAAGGCTCAGCTTGGAGGCAGTTCTGAGCCTCACTCACATCTGATACATAACATGAACTCTAAGACATTCCAGACCAACCAGACTTAAGCTTCAGGAACCACTGAAAATGTGATTTCTAAAAGCCTGAAAGGAACAGCACTATTCCAACACACACCACAAAGTAAAGCATGTAAAAGTTCAAAGAACACCAGGAGGGATTCAAGTTCATCCTCCAAACCCTGAAGATAATAATAGCAGTCATTAGTTGATCTCAAAACCAAATCTTTACAAAATCTCACAAACCAAAACAGTTGTGGTTTGGTTTTTTTCCCTGCCTACATCCAAACCTCCAACACAACATGGAAACCTCATGGCAGATGTGGAAAAGAAGACAATGCAGGCTTTAAGCAGTGGAATTTGTGCAAGATATAAGCCCCAGTTCCAGTGCAAGAGTCTATACTGGGTGAGTCCAAAATTCCCCGCTCATTCTGCAGCACAAACTCCAGGATTATGAGGTGCCAAGGAATCTTCAGGCCCTGAGCCCCTGTGACAGGACACACACCCCAGCAGACATGCCAGACCTGTGCACCTCAACCTACCTCCTTGGCATCCTCCACGTTCTCAAAGTAGACGAAGGCAAAGCCTCTGGAACGTCGGCTCTGCTGGTCATACACGATGGAAACATCAGCAATGGGGCCATACTTGGAGAACACCTCTCTCAGGTCTCTTTCTGTGGTGTACAGGCTCAAGCCAAACACACCAAGGCAACAGTTGGGGTCGGGATTTGCCTAGAGGAAGGGAGAAAGAGGTTAGGAAAGGGAATTGGTTGAGTTTGCAGTGGTATTGCACAGGCTGTGCCAGAGCTCCACAGAGGCTCGGATTGGGGCTGTGTTACTGTGAGATATCAGGCAGAAGTTGTGACGATGGTGAGACACTGGCACAGGTTGCCCAGGGAGGCTGTGGCTGCCCCAGCCCTGGCAGTGTTCACAGCCAGGTTGGCTGAGCCTTGAGCAACCTGCTCTGGTGGGAGGTGTCCCTGCCCAGGGCAGGGGTTGGGGCTGGATGATCTCTAAGCTCCATTCCAACCCCTAAACACACCAGGACACCTAGAGATGCACAGAATTGCTCTGCATTTCCCAGGGCACTGCTCAGAGCACAGAGGGACTGCAGGCTGTGATGCTCTCCAGCACATACCCTGTTCCCAATGTGCCTCCTGCGGGTGGACATGGGGGAGTGGCTGTGGCTGTGGCGGCGCCGATAATCCCGACTGTAGGATCTGCTCCTGGACCTCCTGTGGGAGCGGGAACGGGAGCGGGACCTGGTGTAGTGTCTGCGGGAGCTCCTCCTTGACCTAGACCTGAGCAAACAGAGCAACAGTGGAGGGGTTGGTTGGGGGGTTAACCCTGCAAAAACACAGAGGTGTGACAAGCTCCAAGTCCCCAAGTGCTGCAGTGTCACATGGCTCAGCTCTAACCACTCAGTCACTGCTCCCAAGGACTGTGTGCTGAAGCTTTACTATCAGACTACTACAGATGCTCTCAGAGCATTTCTGAGCTCTAACCGTTTACCCACTGCTCCCAGGGACTGTGTGCTAAAGCTTTACTATCATATTACTACAGATGCTCAGAGCATTTCTGAGCTCTAACCATTCACCCACTGCTCCTAAGTACTTTACTATCAGACTATTACAGATGCTCTCACAGCATTTCTGCTGCAGAGCAGAACCTCTACTTGGTTTTATCCAGCTGTTAGCTCTCCCTACCAAGGCCATCCTGGTTTGACACAGGATTGCTTGGAATATTCACAGTATTCAAGGAAAAACAGGCAGTGCTTTTGTTCTCAAGGGAACAGGAGTAAACATGACTTAGGTGGCACCCAGTGGCACTGCTTTGGGGGACACTGAGAAGCAAATACACCTGTTAAAGTCCAAGCCCCCTGAAACAGCACAAGGTGCAGAAGAAATCCAGCTGCAGTGGCTTATTTCCCTGCTGGTGCTCCAGCAGTTATTCACTACCAGCTCTTCCTCAACACTCACACCTGAAGGTTTTTCAGGCACAGGTGCAGCTACTCACTGCTTGATTCTCCCAGCACTGGTCTCTGGCAGCACAAATTCTGTGCACAGGAGCTTCTGCAGCATTTCCAGCCCTTATCCCATAATCTCCCAATGCAGCCAGATGTGTTAGCTGAAAAGCTGGGCAGGCACTGCCACTGGAATGCTACCCCTGACCCTGCATTCCACACCACTCCAAAGGAAAATCCCTGCAAGGCTCACAAGTGCAATGAACAGTTTAACATTCAAAGTCAGGAACTGCTGGTTTTCAGGCTCTTGTTTGTGTGTTCAATGTCATTTGCACCATCACCACTGTGCTGGCAGGAGTGAAGCTCTGAGCCTCAGCTGGTTTTACTTCTAAGCATTTAACAGCTTCTTCCCCAGTCAGGATTCCTCACTGAGTGTCAACACACAAACAAACTGCAAAATGATCTCCTCAAAAACACCTTCAGCCTCAGGAGTGAAGCAGCTAAGCTCTGTCTTCCTCAACCTGAAGTACATATGGATGTCCAGGAGAAATTGATTCAACATGTCCTATGACAACACTTGTTGTTACTTAGAAAGCAAACATGACCTGGGGCAAAGGCAAGGAAAGAGAGAACCTCCCTGAAGGTGGGAGGAGAGAAATAGTAACAGTAAAAAAAAAACCCAAAAACTGCAGCTCCACACATGCACTGGTATAGAAAAAAAAACATAAGTATTTAAATTTGTGGCCACTGATAGAGAAAACAAACAGAATTAAGGCCAACTCAGAACTGATACTGCAAGTGCCAGAGAGATGGAAGAGCTGAAAAGTTCAACAAAAGTAGATTTGTAAATAAAGTGTATCCATCCCCTAACTGAGGACAAACCCCAGGACACACAGTGGCTCCCAAAGCCAAATTTCATTCCTAACCCTTTAACTCAACCCCACATTTGCAACAGAAACTCCCAGGACATCTGCAGGCTCCCCCAGGGTGCTTGTTTCCCTGGGGAGAGGCAGCAAGTGCCAGCACTGAAGGCAGATTAAGGTTGTTTCTAATTATGTGCCTTGACACAATTCCACCCAAATCTGCTCAGGAACACACTAACTCTGCTACGTAATTCCAGGATTTCCAGCTGGAAGCACCTTCCAGACAGCTGTTAAATGCTCAGGGAGCTGTGGTGGTCACCAACATCTCCTCTTGGTCACCAGTAAGTACAAAGTCAGTTGCCAAGGGAATTTCAAGCCATAGGGTGTGGAACCCCTGAGGTTATGGACAGGGGAGCAGAAGGACATGCTGGGCTGGTGTCTGGCCTGGGCACTTGGGAAGTAAAAAGTGCTTGGAAAAGCACATTAAAAGCTTCCTCACAGGTGTTTTGCAGTCTCCACCCTCTGCGTGAGGATTTCAAATCCCCTGAGAATGTGGTCTGAGCCCAGAGCAGGATCTGGGCCTGGACCTTTACTGAGCTGTTGCTATCCACCTCCCACTCCTTCCAGAGGTCACTCCAATTCAATACCCTACAGTGGCACTGCCCTACCCAGCACTGCCTCACATGATGTGACACATTTGTCCCTGCACTACACGGACTGGCAGGGGCACCATCTGGCACTGGTGGCTGTGCCTGAAGGACACACAGCACCTCCTGCTGCTGCTGCCAGAGCTCCCCAACTATTTTCCTCCTCACCAAGGCCTCTCAGACTGATCCCTCTGATCTTGCCAGGAGACCCAAACACAGAATTTGGTAGTGTTTTCCACCAAGGGTGATTGCTGACAGCACGGTACCTCCTAGGGGTACCATCCTCCCTCCCCAAAACATCTAACTCTGATCTGGTTCAGCTTCCCAAACCCTGAAACATTCATAGTGTTCCTCTGCTGCTACTTACAAACACACCGAGTTACCTTCTCCATAACAACTTCTGGGAGCTTGGAAAGCCAGTACTTGAAACTTCCTAGCCTGTTCATTTCCAAGTTGAATTAGGATGGATGTAAAAGGACAGACTGAAATTCCCACTTCTCTATGAAACCCTAACTTGATGTGCTTTAGCTTTCCAGGCCCTGAAATCCTAACTTGACATAGTTTAGCCTTGCAAACCCTGAAACCCCACATGCCCCTTTGCATTCCATGTCCACAGATCAACCTGGGATCACTCTGGGAGCAGAACTGTACTAAACTGGACTGGAGAAGGTTGGGTGGAGACTTCATAGCAACCTTCCAGTATCATAGAATCATCAAGGTTAGAGGAGACCTCAAAAATCATCAAGTCCGAACCTTAACCTGTCACTGCTAGAAGCCTAAACCATATCCTCCAGTGTCAGATCCAGACACCTCTTAAACACCTCCAGGGATGGTGACTCCACCACCTCCCAGGGCAATATTCCAGTGCCTGAATACCCTCACAGGGAAAATATTTTTCCTAACATCTAATCTGAATCTCTGGAGGGGCTCCAGGGAAGCTGGAGAGACTCTTGGTTAGGAACTGCAGTGACAGGACAAGACGTAATGGGGATAAATTGAAAGAGGGAAATTTAGGTGAGATATGAGACAGAAGTGTTTGCTGTGAGGGTGGTGAGACACTGGCACAGGCTGCCCAGGGAGGCTGTGGCTGCCCCAACCCTGGCAGTGTTCACAGCCAGGTTGGATGAGCCTTGAGCAACCTGCTCTGGTGGGAGGTGTCCCTGCCCAGGGACTGGATGATCTGAGGTCCATTCCAACCCCTTGACACCCTATGACTCTCTGGCTCCATGTGTGCCATGCCCAGCTGAGCTGCAAAGAGGAGGAAGAGGTAGAAGAAGGGAACTCACCTGGATTCAGACCTGGATCTAGATTTGGACCTGGAGCGCCTGGAGTCCTCCTTAGAGCGCGATCTCGCAGGGCTGTGCCTCCCAGACTTCCCAGACCCATGAGCACTTCCGCTTCTGGAAGCAGAACGGGATTCCTGCACGCAGACATTGAGAGCCTAAATTTGTACCCAATTCCTCCTTCCCCTGGGGGCTGCAAACAAGCTGCAGTGAGATCAATGGCAAACAGTGCTAGCTATGTGTCCGGGCAGGTGGCACGAGCACTGCCGAGGCTTTTTAAGGAGGTTTTTTTTTTCCTGGAAGGCTTTACCCTGCATGTACTTGGCTGTTAAACAGATAATGCATGCATGTTTAGCAAAATATACAGGGACACATAAACAGACTAGTAATTACTTAGCGTAGTGCTTTCAGATTCCAGATTACTTCTGAGCTTAACTTCATTTTTATTCCTTTTCTTCATTCTTCCGTTTCAAATTCTGACTTCTTTCATCTTCCCCACTCCACACAAATTGCTCAATATTCTACAAGTGGGACTTCTGGTCTGATAATTAGCATGCATTCACTTTCTCTTTCTTTCAAATTTCAGCTTCACTTATTCCTGAGCTTCAAATAATTCTCATTTACAAAACTTGACAAATGGCGACTTCCGCATTTTCCTTCTTCAACATTAACCTTAATAGAAAAAGAACAGGATGAAGAATATTTCAGAACTCCAGGAGAAAAATCTACTGCCAAAACTGAAACTAGCAATTAAAAAAAGATAAGGTTGTGCACTTTTTTTTTTGGTTTTACTACATATGCAGGTCAAGATTGGAGTCTAGCAAAGCCCAACAGGTTCAGCCAACTTGATTTGACTCGGCACTAAGGGACTCGATTTGCTCTTTATGCCTGGATTTAACAGCAAAGTGCAACTGGATCCACTGAGCAGCATCTCCTGAGAGATTGTAGCACTAGAACTCCATTGAGCATCTCCTGAGGGATTGTAGCACCAGGAAACTCCACTGAGCATCATCCCCTAAGGAACTGTAACACTAGAACTCCACTGAGCATCATCTCCTACGGAACTGTAGCACTAGAACTCCACTCAGCATCATCTCCTAAGGAATTGTAGCACTAGAACTCCATTGAGCATCATCCTCCAAGGAACTGCAGCACCAGAACTCATTGAACATCTCCTAAGGAACTGCAGCACCAGGAAACTCCACTGAGCATCATCCCCTAAGGAACTGCAGAACCAGGAAACTCCAAATCATTTGCCCTACCACGCAGGGACTGTGGGAAATCAGGAGAGACCCTGGTGAGCCTGCTATGCCCACTGACTGAGCTGTTTTAGAATGCCTTCCAGGACTTGGAATTGCCTGAATTTGGGGACCTCTTTGGAGATTCCTCTCCCTTTGGAACTGCCACCCTTGCAGCTCACAGCCCTAGTGAGGCTGCCTGCACACCTGGAGGCTCTGTGCTTCCCCAGGAACCAAACCCCACACTCCAGCACTGCTCTGGAAGAACCTCCCACCTGCCCTGAGACTTACTGGGAATCTCCTCTGATGCTGGCAAGACCCAATGAGCAGTTTCCACTTGTGTATTTGTGTTTTTTAATCAGGTTAATAATGCTTAGCTTGTCACATGCCTCAATCACACCAAGAGATTCTTTATTTCAAGGCACTGGAGAAAATTTAACATTCAGAATTCCATTTCTATCCCTAAACAAAGCCAAACTGGCATCAATCCTGACCAAGCACACTAACAGTGGAATACCAACTTCATACCTAAAATCCCTTGGTTTATCTTCCTAACATCTCTTCAACCTCGACATCACTAATTTGATGGGAATTCTATCCCAACCAGTCAGAACTTCATTTACTCACCCCAAAAATCTCATCCTGCTTAAATCACTTCACACAACTGAAACCACCTCTGAGCTGACTACAATTCCCTAAGGCACAACACAGGGGGAGGGAACACAACTTATAAGGTAAAGCAGGTTTTAGTATCCATCCCAAGAGCAAGAGCAACAACCCCAAAAACTGAGCAGGAAACAACCCAAGGCCATTTTTTTGGGCTCAAAAATGGGTAAGATTTTGTCCTAAACCAGAGCTGCTCAATATCTGAACACTGCAAAGGGCATGGAGAACTAATTAAAGTGTAAATGAACAAAGTGAAGCTAAATCCATCACTATCTCCCCAAGCAAATCCTGCACAGAGGTGAGTTCATGGATTCGTTTAGCCACAGGAAGCCTGAACTCTCTGAAAAAATCAATGTTAGGTCAAGCAGGGTTGAAGGAGGACTAAAAGCCAAACTAAGCCTGTGCTTTCTTTGGAGGAAAACACAAGGTAATGTCTGGGCTGGGCAGGAGGAGTTGTGTCCAAACACAGGGCTGACACTGGGAAGGACAAGAGGAAAGCAGGATGGAGGATCTTGCCCCCACATACCTCCTAAGCCTCTCTCGGGGCTGTTAGGAGTCAAAAAGCTTGGAAAAAAATCAGAATGGCTCAGTCTTCCCATACTCAGGTGCATTTTCCAGACAAGCTCTGCTGGGTTATGTCAATCCCCAACATTCCCACCAGGAAATCCTCTGCAGCCCAAACTCCAAGCACCTGCAGCATTCCAAGCTTAGCTCCCCTAGAGGATTCACACACAGCTCACTTCCAACTGGAGTTCCTCCCATCTGTTTTTGTTGTCCTTAGGGTTTTCTTTTCCTGCTTTTTGTTCTTCCAACTCTAGGAATTTTAAGTGCTTTAAAAATTCCAGCTTGGGCTCCTGTGATTCCATGTGGAAAAGAGAAGGAAGACCCTTCTTTCTCCTGCCTTTTTTTCCCCTAACCTTGGGTTTGTTTAGCATTCATTAAGCAAAAATCCCATCAGATCCCTTCAGCTTCCCCTTCCTCAGGCACTCCTGGAATTCAGGTGGAAGTCCTGAAGGCTTGTGTCTTCCCAAGGAATTCTTTCCAGACTCTGAGCACAATAAAGCCAAAGTGTGACACTGCAGGGATGATATTTTTAACAGCTCCAAGCACATTCCTACAGAGGTGTTAATCACCTCCTCCCAGAGCAGGGAGTGCCACACAGTAGGATGATCTGGGGAGCAGGAGGTGGGAATCCCATGGGGAGAGGGTCTGTGGTGACTGTGAGTCCTGAGATCCAGTTCTTTCTCCCAGGAATACAGTATCAGTCACTTAATAATAAGCAAAGCAAAGCATTAGGGGGTGGATAATCATAAATCCCTACAAACTTAGGTATTCCCACTTGTTTTCCTAAGGAAAGGAGCAGCCTCACCTCCCACAGTACACAACCTGCAGCCTGTGCTAACTCCACATCCCTCAGCCGCGAATTCAGCAACTCCTCCAAGAAAAAGAGCAGCTTTTCCCACTCCTCCCTCTGAGGGACAGGACCAGCACCTCAGACCCTGCTGGGGATTCCCTAGGAGGGAAAGCAGGACCATCCCTTTCCCAGCTCCAGCAAACCAGGCAGGAATGTGCTGTGATGAGGTCCCAGTGCCCCTGTGGGCTCCTCCAGGGCCCCAGGATGGCAGGGAATTCAGCCAGGCTGTTTCCTGGCAGCTCTGGGGGCTCCAGTGCCAGCTGGGGAAGGAGGAACACAGGGGATGATCTAGCCATGCCTCTGAGCTATCAGGTTGTCTCCAGCTGCTTCCTTACACCTTCTCCTCCCAGGATTGAGGAATGAAAACCACCATTTCTGGAAACACAGGTGTGAAATGCCCTGTAACCCAGCTGGGAATTGGGCAGTTATACCATTCAGGTAGCTCTGATTACAAACCACCCACAAAACCCCCCTCCCCTTTAACTCACATATTAAACAGCTGATCACTAAATCATCACTACCAGCAGGAACTTTGCCTGTAATTAGCCTTTTTTCACCCCTTCCATGCCTGAATCCCATGAGCTTCCCTGAAAATCGAGCTGTGGAATTGCAGCACAGTGCCAGGAGCTCACTGAAAGCATTGGCAGCACTCCATAATTTACAGTTTCTCTAGTTTTCCAGAGCTTAATCACATTATGGAGCTGTGAAAAAAGAAAAAAAAAAAAAGAGGATTCAAGTGGGGATTTCTGGACTTGTTTTCCTTCTGGTTTTCTTCTGTTTGCAGGTGACCTAATGTTGAAATCCATGACACCATTCCACAGGGGTCACTCGTGCTGCAAGTCCCATCCCTGGCCAAAGCACCTGGAATTCCTCCTCTATCCCCAGAAGGAATCACTCCAGCCAAGCCTGCAAACCAGTGCAGCTGGAAAAGGGATAAAAGCAGATCCCAACTCTGCCTGCCTGGACAAACACTGGGAGAGAGCAGAACACAATCCCTGCTGCCAGCCTGGGCCTGGAACAGCTGAACACACCCTTGGGAAGTCCTTTCCCACGTTATTTATCCCTGCACTGACTCTATTCTGCAAAGACTTCAGCTGGGAGAGACTGCCACGGAGTCAAGGCAAAATAAGCAAAAATAAAGGATAAACAACAATGGAAATAGTTAGGAGAGACAATCTCTGCTCTAGGCTGTGGGTTAGCTCTACAACTCACCTACTCACCAATCACAACTGCTCAAGCTCACCCAGATTTTAAACACATGGTTATTAGTTCTGACTAAAAACACAGGGCAGTGGCAGCACAGCAATTCCTGCTCTGAGCCCCTGCAACATACTCAGAACACAAAGGTTTGAACATCACTTAATGCCTCAGCTCCAGTCAGGTTACCCTGGCACACTTCACTACGGCTCAACTGGGTTTGCCCAGAAGCAATAAAAGTGACTTTAAAGGCACCGACACAGCAAAATCCACGTGGAACAGGCAGTATTTCCTCTCTGGGACACACCAGTTGTGAGAGACATCGACGGGAGGAGAACACTGGGGGTAGACTGAGTCTGTCCTTTAATCCTTTCACCATTTCATTCCCATGTTTAGCTCCCTGGAGACTCCCAATTTTCCAACCTCACCTGCCTCTGAGGAGAGACACTGACACCTATTCAAGCTCATTGTAGTGAACCTGAGCCAGAAAAACTCATGCCCTAACACAGACACTGCTCAGTTACTACACCCTCACACCTTCTGCCACCTCCAGCTTAAAACTCAACCTCTCAGCACCTCCACAACTCTCTCGACGCTGCAGGGACCCTAAAACTAAACAAAGCGACACAATTACGCTGCAATAAATCCCCAAAACCACAGCGTTAAACCCTGTAGCAGCAGCAAGGAGAGCCCTGAGAGGAAAACAAGGCTGATAACACAGAGCAAACAGTAAATACACCTCATCTGTACTGTAACGTGCATTACAGACGTGAAGCTTAGCAAATCATCTACACGGCTATGAGTTAAAAATCGCGTCTAGGCAGCGATATTATAGTGACTATGAGGTTTCATGGGTGGATTTACTGCGCGTTTCATAGAGCGAGAGAAATGATTTGGCTTTTATAGTTATTATAGTCGACTGTTAACAGTCTACTCCAGGAGAGCCTGAGCCAGCCGCGCGCCACAGGCTGCGGCATGACTGAACAGGCAACAGCGAGAGGCGGCGAAGAGCAGTTTAATGCGGGAGTGAGGAGGAGGGAGCTGACGCCCTTTGTTGCGGGGACAGGGACGGGGACGCTGCAGGCCCAGGCAACACGCGGCGCCGCCATTTTGTGCGTGCGCGCCTGGCGCGGCCCAAGATGGCGCCGGGC